AAGCCAAACCGTTGCATACCGTAGTAATTGATGGCACCGATTGTGGCCACCGATTGTAGGCTGCGTTCGGCGTCCGACCGGTCCGAGCACTTGACATCCCGGAGCACTATATCGAACCGATTGCCGCTCAGTTCACCCAAACGCAACTCACGCGCGGCGAACTGGAAATGGCCGACCTCTATGTCGCGACAGCCGCGCGCCGCGTACCATATCCTCTGCGGCGGCACTTTCCACGCGCTCACCGCTTGAGTAGTGATCGCTCGCTTGTCTTTAGTGCCGGCGATCGCAAAGTTTTTGGCCGAAATGCGCATTTTCAGCGCCAACTCGTTGAGCGCCTGTTGGGTCTCTCGATTCTCCTTATACATGACAAAGTGGATGTACTCTCCCCTGTGTTTAGGCCATTGGTGCCGATTGCGCGCCGGCGCCGAACCCTTGTCCACTCGTTTGACAACTATATACTTGTGGCCGTCGGTGTCGTCGACGGTAGACGTCTCCAGATCTTCGTAGTTGTCTTTAAAGCCAAACCGTTGCATACCGTAGTAATTGATGGCACCGATTGTGGCCACCGATTGTAGGCTGCGTTCGGCGTCCGACCGGTCCGAGCACTTGACATCCCGGAGCACTATATCGAACCGATTGCCGCACAGTTCACCCAAACGCAACTCACGCGCGGCGAACTGGAAGTGGCCGACCTCTATGTCGCGACAGCCGCGCGCCGCGTACCATATCCTCTGCGGCGGCACTTTCCACGCGCTCACCGCTTGAGTAGTGATCGCTCGCTTGTCTTTAGTGCCGGCGATCGCGAAGTTTTTGGCCGAAATCCGCATTTTGAGCGCCAACTCGTTGAGCGCCTGTTGAGTCTCCCGGTTCTCCTTATACATGACAAAGTGGATGTACTCTCCCTTGTGTTTAGGCCATTGGTGCCGATTGCGCGCCGGCGCCGAACCCTTGTCCACTCGTTTGACAACTATATACTTGTGGCCGTCGGTGTCGTCGACGGTAGACGTCTCCAGATCTTCGTAGTTGTCTTTAATCGCTTTGTGTATTCGAGTTCTTTCGTGTTTCGACAAACCATTGACCGGTATTTTCACACAATTTTTGTCACCATTTTTAGTGTCTTTATTATCGGCGTCTTTTCGGTCGTCGACTGCGCCCGTTGTCACTGTAGTTGTGGCCACCGTTTGCGCATCAATTGTCTCATCTGTTTGGTCTGCATTCGTGTTAACAACACATTCATCAACAACTTTATCAGAGCTCACATCACCCGTACTATCACTACTGGTTTTATCCACTAATTGTCTGATCTTATCGATGGTGTTGTCGTCAAACACTTCGTAGATGTCGAGCACAGGTATGACCTCCTCTTCGGGCATCCGGTTGTCAATGAGACGCAAAATTTGGCCATTTTTGGCGATTTCATGCACTAAAAAGTCTTCGTAACTGTAATATAAGAAACATATCTATAATCACATTGTCTCAGACATAGCGACTGCGACCACAAACCGATTCTTAAGCACCGCCTCAAAGGGCTTATAATCGCCAATGAATTCACTGATACCGACATCGCGTTCATCAAAATTTCGGTCCAACTTTGATCGCCACGTGTTATCGGCCACAGAGTGGTCACTGCCGTCACTGCCATCACCCGATGTCTTGTTGTCAGCGCTTTCATTGTCACCCAATTTGATGCGTTTGGTTGGCGGCGGAACAGACGGAGTGACAATTGGAGTGGTGGTCGTCATTGCCTGGGAGTCGGCCATTGCGGTGGTCCTACTGGTGACCAAATGAGCTAAACGTTTAAACAGATGTCTAGTCAAACGGCCTGTCATTCATATGTGATCCGCACATAAACACAAACAACAAAACACAGCACAAGGTGTGGAACACAACATGAATGTCACGTGATTCGCACGTGTCTTCACCCCATCTATTGGCACCTCTACTCACAGCACACAATGTGACCACTTTTGATCACTACTTCGGCCGCCGATGCAGTATCTCATGATTGGTTAGTGTCCATAAATGGGGGTCAGTATTAGGGCTATTGTCTCGCGTGAAACACATTGTATTCATTGTTTGATTGATTGTTACGCAGACTTCGAGTGAGAGGACAGCACACGAAGACCACCGGCCGAAGAGGTCGTACAGTCGGTGTCAGCAAAAAGAAGGGCTAATCGTTTGTGGCGTTTATTTTTGTACACATTTTTGGACAAATATTTAATGTAATGAATGAATGATTAGTTTCACTATTTAATTGTATTTTGTGTTCAAAAAATGAGTGAATAAATGAATTGACAATAATGTCAATAACCCGATCTCACATTATCTCGCTCCCTCGTTATAATTGGATGATATTGTGGGTGTGTATGAATGCGTTTGTATGGCTTGAGTCAATGGGGGGCAGAAAAAGGGAGCGTGAGAGCGAGATAATGTGAGAGCGCCTTATTAAAGGCCTTGTGAAAGAAAATATTTTAATAATTCTTTTATTGTTATTATATTATAATTATTCATTAAATTCATTGCTTGTGTTGTCTTCGCGGACATTGACTGAACCAATGCTAATCATTGGGTTCGGGATGCGGTGCCGCGGAGACCGAATTGGCCGCTACATCGGTGTTATCGTCCGACACTCACATTGAAGAGTGTGAAGAGTTTTCACTATCGCCCACGCCTTCTAAGTCGGACCCGTTGTGGCCATCGAACGGATGGCTCGTCTCAAATGCGTTGATGGCATCCAGAAGAACACCCGTAGCGTTGAGACCACGCAATGCACGCATCGCTCGACCGAACACTATTCGCGCCGACGCCTCACCCAAAGGGCCCAACGGTTCCAGTTCTTCGTGAATACCATAAACAACTCGCAACTCATTTATCAGTTGATTCCTGTGTGTGAGTGCGAGAGAGAGAGAGAGAGAGAGAGAGTTATGTAACAATATTAGTATCAAATGATTGAAATTATTTCTAAATGTAATGAATGGCCGGTCAAAGAGATGCCAACTGTTTGGTGACTTACGTGTGAGCTTCAGATCGATCTCGTAGTGACAACAAGTCAATGATGATCTCTTGGACGCGATCTTCAATCGGAGGAACTGATCCATTGCCTGCCCTTTTCAGCTGTCGTGTGAGCACTCGTCTTAACAAACACTTATTGTCTCTGCCTTTCCGTCCCATCAATACTGACCCAAAAGGGGACAAAACTATCGGTCAATGATTTACACGTTTTTTATTAATTGTTCAATGATTTGGGTTTGCATTTGATTTGACACTTCAATTGTTTGTTTACTCGTCTGCACACACCTCTAGTGCAATGCATGCGCAGAGTGTGTGCGCACAGCCCTAGTCTGCCATACACTCCACGCAAGCAATACATTGTTTCGCAGTGTTTCACAAGCAGTGAGTGTTTGTGCACCGCATGTGACACGTCATACACGTCTATACACAGCCACAGAGTGGACACCAATTGTCACCGCAAACACATCCAGCCATAGGTATACCTGTATTGGTGTCAACGATGGCCTCTTCCAACTCGACGGCCAGCTTTACGGCCGTAAACGACGGCGAGTTCTCGCACTTGGATCTGACGGGCAAACTCATCATCAAAGTGTCGTACGGGGAGGACATCCGCCGCATTCCCATCCACAACGAGGACATCACTTACGATGAGCTCATTCTTATGATGCAACGCGTCTTCAGGGGTTTGATCCGCGCCGACGACGACGTGGCCGTCAAGTATAGGGACGAAGACAACGACCTGATCTCCATCGCCGACTCGGCGGACATACAGTTCGCCATTCAGTGCTCGCGTGTACTGAAGCTGACGCTCTTCGTGAACGGACGGCCGCAGCCGCTGCTCACCGACGAGGTTAAGACGATTCGCCACGAGTTGCAACACATCCGCAACCGCTGTAACGCTCTGTTGGACCGCTTGGAGGCGCCCCGAGTGCTCACCAGTGGTGGTGATAGTGTGGACGATAAGGCCAACGAGTCGGCCACCACTGCGCCCACCAAACAGGTGGCCCAACAGCCGGCGCACAAAGAGTTTGATCCGTTAAAGTCCAGTGCGTTAAGCAATGGACCGTCACATCAGCCGCAGGCCACTGAAGATAAGCGCTCGGCCTCTCCGGACAGTGTGTCGAGTCTGTCGTCTCAGTCCCGACAACAGCAGGGCTTAGGCAATGTGTCGGCTCCCGATCTGCGATCGCTGACTACCGATCATCAGCCGCCCGGCGGTCACCAGTTCTTGTCTCAACAGCCAAGTCATCCCAATTCAATGATTGGACAGCAATTCCCACCACAACAACAGCAACGGTTCGAAGTGCAGGCACAGCCCTATCCGGCGCAGCCCTTCCCCGCACCCAATCGCCAGAACGTGTCCGCAATGCCGAACTCGCAGTCCAGTCCATTAGGACCGGCGCCGCCCACATCCCTATCGGGTCCTCCGCCGCAACATATGACTGGTTATCCGGGAGGACAGCCGTCAGGGCCGCCATCATTGGGTGGCTTTGGAGGCCCACCACCGCAGGGCTCAATGAATCAGCCATTCGGCGCACCGCCGCCTAACGCTCGGCCGCCGTTTGGAGCGCCGCCGCCCTCCGGCCAACTGGGAGGCGGACCACCGCCGCAGCAAATGATGTACTCTCAATCGGGAAGCGTTGCGCCCACTTCTACAATAACTACAGGACCGGGCGGTTACGGGCCGTCATCGCAGGGACCGCCGCCTAATTTTGGTCACCCGAGTCCTGTCCACGGCTTTGGTGGACCGCAAGGACCGCCGCCGCCCTCACAGCAGCCACAGATGCCTCCATCACAACAACAGCAACAGATGCCTTCGGGTCCCTATCCGGGAATGGGTGGCCCTCCGCCTCCGTCGGGACCCCCGACTGGTGGACCGCCGCCGATGGCCGGAGGTATGCCCGGAGGGATGAATCCTTACTCGCGTGGTGTGGGCGCCAATCGGCCCCGATATCCCCCGAACCCGGGTTTTCCACAGCAATGAGTGAACAAATGGATGTGTTTTTAAATTTTAAATCAATCGGAAGTTTAATGTCTTTTTTTAATTATTAATTAATTTAGTTATTAATTGTATTTTTTTAAAGTTATATTTTGTGCTCAGAATTTCTTTCTCACAATTAATTGCTTTAATATTTAGTCTGAAATGTATTTTTGGAGTCTTTTCTCTGATTTGATGTGAATTATAATGAATTAATTGATTATAATTTTGATTTTAATTAATGCGTTCATTACTATATCGCTGTAAACACACTGTAATAATAATAAAACGTTTTTAATTTAAAGACAAATTAGTTTATAAATATAATGATTGATTGAATAGATAGTTGTGTTGAAGACATAAAAGGGTTAATATAATGGGTAAGTGATGTCCGGTGGCGGCCGTTGACACTAAATATGAGTTTGTATCCAATTTGTGGCCACTGATGGCCGCGTACTTATGCGCAACCAAAAAGTGGCAGACAGTTGTGCGGCGCCTGGAGCTGATCCCTTAGCACCGGTAACAAGTGGTGGTCGGCCACGAAGAACGTGAAGCATAAGATGCGATGCCCTCAGTATTAGGGCGCCTACATATGCATTGGTCACGACTAGGGTTAAGACGCTTATGGCATGGGAATAAAATAAAGGGAATATGCCGGGCATTTATTGGCATTTATCGGACGTTTATTTTGGCTGCCCTATAAATTCCCTACATTTTTTCAACGTCTAATGCTAAAAACATTTTCAAGCGGTGCTGCCATCTAGTTAAGATGGGCATTTATTTTAACATTTTTATAGAGATTAAATGT